AGTAGGTCACTAAGGCTAAATGCTAGGCTTAGGTTTGTATGTAGGGATGAGGAGATTGGCTGTTTGGGCTTGTGGGATCAATTCAGTGGATGGTTTACATTTAAATAGAGTAGGGGCTGGCTTGTTTGCTAAGGTTGTTAACTCAGCTGTAAGGGAAGTTTTAAACTAGGACTACACAGTGGTGAGGGCCAGGAAAAACTGAATGCAAAAAGAATAAGAGGCAGAGAAAAGTTTTAGCATAGGAAAATAGTATAGAAATAGTTATAAGGATAGGCTTAATTGTTACTATTGTAATGCTACAATATAAATAAAATAGATGACTTTAGAGCACTGGTAGGAATATAGGATTTTGATATAATGGGAATAACTGAAACATGGTTAAATGTAGATGATTTTGATGACAGAAATTTTTTGAAATACAGGGTTACAGGCTATTTAATAGGGATAGAGTATTAAAGAGAGGGGGGGAGTGGCTTTATATGTAAAATGTGAGTTACATTCTGTTGAAGTTGAGGATATCAAAGATAATAGCAGAGAGATTGAATCCACTTGTGTTTCTATTAGGGGTTATAAAGGGAAAAGGCTTTTAGTGGGGATTTGTTACAGACCACCAAATGATGCTGATGAAATTAGTGAGAAACTTTACAATGAGATTAAGATTTCGGCTATTAATGAAGTCATAATTATGGGTGATTTTAATTTCTAGCATACAGATTGGGAAATGCTAGAGTCAAACCATGAGGGAGAAAGGTTTTTGGAAACTATTCAGTATGGGTTTCTTCACCAGTTAGTCAAGGAACCAACTAGAAGCAATGCTATTTTAGACTTATTATTAACCTCAAATAGAGAAATGATTGAGATGGTGGAAATAGGGGAACATCTTGCTGTAACTGATCATTGCTCTATTAGGTTCAATATTTTGCTGCATATGGAGATAAGGAATAGTGGGAATTTAGTCACAAGTTTCAAAAAGGTAAGTTTTGAAGAGATGTCACAAGAATTATCTGTTGTGAATTGGGCAGCTGTGTTATTTGGAGACACTGATCAGATGTGGAACGTTTTAAAGATAAATTTTTAAATATTCAAGGTAAACATATTCCTTATAGAAAGAAAAGGGTAGCTACAAGTAAAAAACCAGGTTGGCTCACAAAGAGTTAAAGAAATAAAATTAAATAAAAGCATCATAAATTTAAGAAATTTAATTTGACTGGTATGACAGGAGATTTAGAAGATCAAGAAAGTTGGTGAAACAGGAACTTGCGACATTAAAAAGGATGTATGAGACAAGGTTGGCTGAAAATGTAAAAATTAACAGTAAGGATTTCTTTAAAAACATTAAGGGTCAATAACATGTCAGGATGGGGATAGGACACTTGAGGGATGATAACGGACGTCTAGTATCTGATGATTATGAGATGGCTGGGTTATGAAATTTTGCTTTTTCTTCGGTTTTTACTAATGAAGATTTAAGCAGTATTCCACATCTTGATCAGTTGATAAATGGAAACAAGATCAAATAAAATGACTGCAGTAATTCTGATCTGGTTAAGAAAAAATTGGGAAGTTTAAAAAAAAATAAGGCTCCTGGGCCACATAATATTTCCCAAAGGGTTTTGAAGGAGGTTAAAGATTGGATATGTGAGCCACTTACTACTATTTTTTGTCAGTCCTTGAATACTGGGCCGGTACTAGAGGATTGGAAGTTAGCTAATGTAAATCCTCTTTTCAAGGGAGGTGATAAAAATTGTCCCAGTAATTTTAGACCCATTAGTCTTACATCAGTTGTGGGAAAAGTTTTGGAAAGTATGTTAAAAGATGCTTTGCAAAGTCATTTAACAAAGTTTAGAATTTTATTGGATAGTCAACATGGTTTCACTAAGGGAACATCTTGCCTTAAAAATCTTTTAACATTCTTTGAAAAGGTTACTGCTTATGTAGATGATGGTAAGGGTGTAGATGTGGTGTATCTGAATTTTCAGAAAGCATCTGACAAGGTGTCGCATAAAAGGCTTGTAAAAAAATTAGCTCTGTAGGTGTGGGGGATAAGTTAGTAAATTGAATAGAAGAGTGGCTAAATGGAAGGAAGCAGAGGGTTGTTACAAATCAAACCGGATTAATGTCACAAGTGGGGTACCTCAGGGCTCAATCTTAGGACCTTTGCTCTTTTTGATTTACATCAATGACCTAGATGAATGGATAGTCAATAAATTACTTAAATTTGCAAATGATATTAAGGTCTTGGGTGTTGCTAGCTGTGAAGCGGATG